TAGACGATAAATCGCGAGTTTTTCGGTGAAACGATCGTAATAATTTTCATTGTTCGCGAGCTTCCGTTGTCGTGGCCCTTTTCCATCGCTCGAGTAATTTCTAATGAAGGAACTCCTATTATTTTGGAAAAAAAGCGTCGAGCAACCGCGGCCACTTCATAAATGTCGGCACTCGAGAATTCACTGGGCTTTCGTACCAGCCGTGGAATTTACGTTGCCCCGAAGATTTATGAGAAAGCGAATCAGCTTCGAACGCGTCAACGGCACGAAAAGAATCTGTTAAGCGAAGCTTGAACGACTGAGTTGCCATGATTTATTACGATGCTCGATAAAATTCTGCTTCGCTCGTTATAAAACTACATTAGATCTCACGTTCCCGAGAACATAAAAGGCAGAAAATGATGCCAGATATTCGGTGAAAATGATCGATGAAGATAATTCTTTTCCCGCGTTTCAATGTCACGGGTAATTGTTCAAATTGATTGGGACGGAAACTGATGTTTCATGTGCCATACAACATTTATTAATTTTATACATTCATACTAGATTAATTTATTTCGCATTTTTTATTATACTGTCTGATCAATTTACTTGCAGATGTACATACAACGTTGATTATTTTAAACCAGGTTCCAAATTCTCAATTTTTTTATACTGTCTCATCAATTCACTTGCAGATTTGCATACAACATTGATTAGTTTCAATCAGTTTCTATATTCTAAATACTATATGTATAAATTACAAACACCTTGTTTAAATAATAAAAAAATTTTAATAGTAAAAATCAAATTTTAAATTCTATATTAAAGATGAAGTAACGATGGAATTTTAAATAAATTACAAGTATCTATTTTATAAGTTTAAAATATTTTGCAAATTTATAAGTTAGGTAGTTTATAAGTTACGTGAGAATTTTATAGACAGCAAGAGTCCAAAATAAACTTGACATTTCCGTCACGATCAATTTGTATTGACGATAAAAGAGAATGAAAATTGAACTCCGGGCAAAACCGATGCACGTAATGAAAAACGGAAACGGAATACACCAACTGGGGGAAAGTAAACTTCTCCCCAGCGAATATTGCTCTAAAAGACGGATACGATGTGTCCTGTGACGCCAGTCCCTTCCCAAACGGCTATAATTTGAAACGGTGAAACGTTACCCTTTAGCTTCAGGCTATTTGGCGGTTTCTCCAGATTCCATTGGCCATCCCTGTAGGATAGCCTGTCGGCCTACTTCGTATTTGGCTTCCTCGGGAAAGGAAGTATTTCTGCTCCGCATAGGGGGTTGCGGTTACTTACACCGAAGCCTGACAAGTTCAAGAAATACTATGCTAATTAGGAATGTCTATGTGTCCCACTTCGGATTTTAGTGAACACGTTGATAAATTATATTATGAACCGTGTATCGAATATATTAGATTATACAATTTTTAGATTTTTAAATTTGCAGATGATTAGATTCTTAGATCTCCAAGTGTCCAAATTCTTGGATGTCCAAGTGTCACATTTTAGAATTTTTTATGGGATAAATTCTCAAGTTTCTAGATTTCTAAATCTCCAAATTCTGAAACATTTAGATCTCCAAATCCCCTAATACCTAATCTCCAAATTTTGCAAATTTAAAAATCCACCTATGACTAAATCCCTATATCCCTAAACCCTCAAATTCCACTTTCCCAAGTTCCAAATTCCCAAATTCCACTTTTCGAAGTTCCAAATTCCCAAATTCCACTTTCCCAAGTTCCAAATCCCCAAATTCCACTTTCCCAAGTTCCAAATCTTCAAATTTCACTTTCCCAAGTTCCAAATCCCCAAATTCCACTTTTCGAAGTTCCAAATTCCCAAATTCCACTTTTTGAAGTTCCAAATTCCCAAATTCCACTTTCCCAAGTTCCAAATCCCCAAATTTCACTTTCCCAAGTTCCAAATCCCCAAATTCCACTTTCCCCAGTTCCAAATCCCCAAATACCACTTTCCCAAGTTCCAAAGTCCCAAATTCCACTTTCCCAAGTTCCAAATCCCCAAATTCCACTTTCCCAAGTTCCAAATCCCCAAATTCCACTTTCCCCAGTTCCAAATCTCCAAATTCCACTTTCCCAAGTTCCAAGTCTTCAAATTCCACTTTCCCAAGTTCCAAGTTTCCAAATCTCCAAATCTCCAAATCTTCAATTCCCCCAATCCCCCAATCCCCCAATCCCCAAATCCCCAAATCCTCAAATCCCCAAATCCCCCAAATCCCAAAATCCCCAACTCCCCAAATCCCCAAATCCCCAAGTCCCCAAATCCCCAAGTCCTCAAATCCCCAAACCCCCAAATCCCCAAATCCTGAAATTCCGCAAATTTCATCGCAATCACTTGGTATTCGAGAAATTCCGTCTGTTAGCGTCGACTTTTGCGATGCGGAAATGGCGTGTAGTGTATTTGTACGACCAGCACGGAATGTTGAATCTACAATTCTGATTGTCCACGTAAATTCGCGTTCCCAGTGAAAAAGCGTAAAATAGTTGCTTCGTTACTCTGTGGTCGCGTTTCGCAACTGTTGGCGAAGCTTTCAATCCGCGCGAAACACCGTCGCATAATTAATTCCGCTCGCGTGGTAATTGCACTGTTTCAGAGTAAGTGAGTGTTGTTCGTAATTTAATCGTATTAGCTGTGCCTTCATAAAGTCAGCTATACTTAATGCTCTACTGCTCTAAGCATTCCTTCATGTGATATCCACATGTGTATAGATACGTAAAGGCAAACACAAAATACATACATGTCGTATAAGAGTATGAAACAAATAAGAAAAGCAGTATATGTACATTTAGATATACAATTTTGTAATCAAAATTAGGGGTAGCATCAACGAAAAAAATTGTATCTTCGGAATTCATACACATGTTTGTAACATATGTATTAATGAAATACTATGGAGCACCTACTGTAACTTTCATCTACTATATTTTAGAAATTAATTTAAAATCTTTGTAAATTAAATTTTCACCAATTTCTTGTTGCTTCTATAATCAAATTAAATTTATCATGCCCGTCAGCACCATTCAGCGCGTTAACTGTCACCCCGAAGTCTCAACAGTCCCGATCGTTAAACCCCTCTGATCTTTTTCAGTCCACATTTTATCTGCTCCTCTATTGTATCTCCAAAGTCGAACAAGAACACGAATATCAGTTTGTCCCGGCCATTTCCGTTTTCGTTCAATCCGCCGGGTCTTACTTTCCACCCTCCGCTGCTGGTCTTTTTTTTTGTTTCATTTCCCACTTCACATATTCATACGGCACTCTTTGCTTACAATAAATGCGGACCATTTGCATGTAGGGTCTCTGTTCGGTAGCGAACCCGTTCTCTGTGTTCCCAGTCCATATCTGTCCGTCTCTGTCGCACCGCCGATAGGTTGGGTGTCCTGGTCTCCCTGGGGCGCTAGCTCGCTTCGGCCACCCCTCCGCGGCTCAACTCCAGCGCGATAAGCCGCCCCCGGGGATCCGCGATTGTCTCGATTTATATGCATGCACAGACGTAGGTGGTGGGCCATGGCTGCGGGTACACTGTCCTGGGGTGGGGTCGAGAAGACAAGGGGTGGCTGTAGATGCGACCGTCAATAGATCGATTCTCTTGGCAGACAGTAAATATCGCTGATGAGCCGGTCCAGTCGACGATTGGGACCTAGGGCCGGGGTTCGAGGGGTTCGGGTGCTTACCCTGCGATTTGTCGAGTGGCAGGAATCCTCGCGCTACTCGGCACCCCCCGTGCAGGTTCACCCCTCCGACGCACCCGCCCCCTCTTTCGGTCTTTATCCGCCGTTCGACCATTCTTTATTCCCGCGATTTTTGTTTTTACGCTTCTCCATCGGAGAATTTGCGAGCCGAGGCATCCGGTGTGCCTTGGGAGGCTACCGTCCGGGGGATTAACGCGCCGCCGGGATAATTTCTTCCTTTTTTGCCGCGGGGGAGAAATTGTTGCGAACGAGGGACTTCCTGCGTGCGTCGGAACGATTATCCGAATTAATTCGGAAATGTCTCTTTAACGACCGTGCCAGCCAGTATTTTTTCGCTCGGCGCTTAGCTGACGAGTGATTGATTTTAGACTTTGTTGCCGGGATGTACGGAAACATGGTAAGGTATCGGCTTTTGCGAAACTGCGCCGGAATCGGAATTTACTTGTATACTCGTTCCTCTATCGATGGTACTCGATATCAGAAAATGCGCGAGGGAGATGACCTCGTTATTGCGCGTGCAAGAATGTGATCGATCGGAAGTAGGTTTTCTGACAAAATTGTTATACGGTATTAAGGATAGAACGTTGGGTCCTTTGTGTTTTGAGATCGGCTTTAGATGAATATTTACCTGCATGGAAGTATTATTCAAACATTATAATAAGATATTCTATAATAATTATAATAAGATAATAATTAGAAATTCTTTTCATATAATTTGAATGTTAGTTGCATATTACATGTTCATTTTACTAATGCATCACATAGCTTTTTGTATATCTTCTTTTATGAAATTGACGAATATATAATATAGACCGGTAATTCATAATTCACCCTATGAAGATACACCTTACAGTAGAAATTTATTACCAAATATGTTTATACAAGAGCAATTTAATAAAATATTCCAAACTTCGATGTTTGAAGGTTTTGGTCAGTGGATCACATTTGATACTTTTAATGAAATGAAATTGACAATTCGACACCAATGGGATCGATGACGGATATATTTACCGTAAGCTGCATTAAAATACGTGCATCATAAAGTGATGAATATCACAAAACTGTTACATGTAAATAAATATCAAATGTTTGTTCATTAAATGCTTTACTAATTAATGCAATAGCAATGCTATTCATAAATTTTTGTAATCAGTCATGTGAAATATTTGATGCAAATTACTGGCGATGCTCATTTAACAATACAGAATTTCAACGCGTTGATAAACGTATCATTAACGGAGACGTGAATCGTTAATTGTAATGTGTTGCATTTATGTTTGCAGGTATCTCTGTGCGACGATTATAGTCTGCCAGTCGATTTTGTGAATAAGAGACGTCCTGCGAGCGCTGCGGCCACAACATCCACGGTTCAATGGGCCTTGCCTAGTCCTACCATTGAAAACGTGAGTATTTGTTCGATAATATAATATTCAGTTAGTGTACCTGAGAGAAAGGTTTAATAAAAAAAATAAAAAGTTCTTGTGTTATATTTCCCTTCATAAATATTCAACAAGTCAAATAATCGTGATCGAAATGTCACGCGATAAGTCGTACAAGAATCATCTGATCTTAGCCTATGGTTATCGCCCCCGGTCTTCAGCATCGATTCAGGATTCACCGCGTCGTTTAACGGCGGTATTGATATTTTCCCTGGCTGTCGAAGAATTGGTTGAAGGGAGAAATATAATTACGATGGTGACAAAATACCCGCTGGGCATGGTAGCATAGAGGGTGTACGGGGGGAAGGTTGAGGACCGTTCTCGCAACACGATGGAGTAGGAAGAACGAAACGGAAGGACGAAGGGAAGCGTGCGAGTAGGGCGGTCGAAAGGGGGCAAAGGGTGAGGGTGACTTCCGGCGGTGCTTATAATTGTTCCAGCACTCAGTTTCTGGTGCTCAGGCTCGCCCCGAGCGCAAAGTCTAAATGCTTGTGAAGTTGAAATACAGCTCACCTTGACTATGCTTCCTGGTGTCCTCGTTGGAACGTCACATCTCGGCATTTACTGACACTATCTCGTACGTGGAATGTTAGCTTCGTTTTGTCTCGGCAAGTAACTTTTCGCGTGAAATTAGGTCTCCTTCATAACCGCAAATAGAGATAAAACGGGACATTAAGTTAAAAATTCAAATTATTTACAAATTTGTGGACACATCAAACATAGAGACAGTATTGCATGATAGCCACTCTCAAGTTTATCTAATTATACAGCCTAAGTATCAATTAGTGTAATTAGGGTAGGTCAGCCTTGACACGTTTGTACATATTGGATAAAATCGGTTTGTGAACGATGCAAGCGTTTATAGAACATGTAATAATGAAATGCAACAATTTTTGTTCAACATTATGATCAACATATCAAATCATGGTAGATGTAATACTTATTTTTGTGAAATACATACAGACACTAAAACTGTACAAAAAATAATAAACCATTGATTGTAATTATATTTATAAATGAATAATATCAGTTAACAAACATGTTACGTTAGCTATCTTAAAATTACAAATATTTAAATTGATCATCAACAACAGTAACATCTTCTAGCATTGCTACTATCATCTTTATCTTCTATTATCATAAAAAGGCAAGAGTCAATAGAAAATTCATTTTGAAGAATAAATCTTGAAGCATAAATATCATACAACATATATAGTATACAACTGAGTTATTACAACATTTATGAGTCTATACCAATCGCATTTTTTAATTCCCCCAAAAAATGAACATACCAAAACCTCGCATATAAGCATAAAGATCAACAAATAATAAAAAGCATCAACAAGTAAATGGTATTACGTAAACGAGAAGTGAATGGTAAAGTGGCAAAGAAAGAAATAAGAGTTACGGATGACCGAATAAAATACAACCGTGAAACGAAGCGTAGCGATCATCAACAAATTGCAAACTTGGTCGAGGAGACATAAAAGCAAGGTTAGGCTGGTCGCGAGGGAGGAGTCGTAAAGACGAAGAAGACGATGGAAAGAAGCGTGAGCATTGAGGGGGGTCGAGACACCTGGTAGCATCGAACAAAAGTTTCGTTCGCCTCGTTGTCACCGAGGCATCCCTCGACGAAAGTGCTCGGTCGCGATAGCAGCGGGCAGAGGGTGCGAGCAGGAGCGACAAAAGAGAAGGCAACGGGCGCCACTTGATTCAAGAGGGTGAATCGTTACGACTCCCGCTCGTAAGCCCTACTTAATACTTTAGCGCTTTATTTTATGCGTGAGGTCGGCCACCGTTGTAGGTCGCATTTATCACATCTAACAAAGAACCTCGCCTCGAGAAAGTTGCGAGCGTGCCTGTCGCATTGAAAATTTCGCGGTCGCGGCTGTTGAAAGTGAAACGGAGGATTTATAGTTTCCTAAACGCGACGGGGCTTCGCAGGACGTTTAACTCTTCGCTGCTTGAATCGTCTGTCACTGTTATGAGAAACAGTGGATCAAGATATTGTTCTGGGGATTCTATGTGAATTGCAGTGTAATGGTTTCGGTTATGGTTTATTTTACCATTTATTCTCGACAATTTTATTTTGTATAGATTCCATCGCATTGATATTAAAATTTTATATTTTTATTTTGGTATATTTCTATTTTCTTATATTTTACCATGTTATATTTCTATTTTGTTACCCTTTATTTTGTTACATTTCCATTTTTTTATATTTTGCCGTGTTATATTTCTATCTTTTATTTTGTTATCTTTCGCTTTGTTGTATTTTATTTTTTATCTGACATATACATGGCTCACAGGGTTAAAAGGTAGATCAATAACCAGATCAAAGATAAACGTTATTTTAGAATCTACCTATACCGAGGTATAACAGCAACTCGTAAAAATGGTTCACATCGCTGCAGATCCTCCTCGGGGTAATAAACATTGTTGTCGAGAGTTATGGTGACGATGGCATCGAAGTACTGGTGTCTCGTTACGCTTCCAGTTATTTATGACACTTTGACCACCCTCGTATTTTCGTGAGCTGACTTTCAGGGCGTTCTACGCGTATATTGACAGTTGGATATATGGCCCTCGCTTTCCGACTTCTATATACATCTGGACTATTGAAACTATTTATCAAATGTACCTTTCGCTACAGATGCAATACATTGAGTTGTGAACGGATTTCATTACAACGAATTAATTTAGACTCCCTCACATATTTACATACTCGACATATTTATTAAATTGAGCATTGCTGACATTGACAATTGTTCCACAATCGTGACGTACACAGTTCATATGTGACTCGTGTTCTCATCTTCACATTGTAATAATTTACTACATAAAAAATTGTAGGTTAGCCTACATAAAAAAATTGTAAGTAAGGATTAAATGAATAACATCATAAAGTTTGACGCTCAGAAACAGCTGATTTCTTTATTTCTATGGTTAAGAACATTATCGCATGGTTGGTCGCATTCTGAAGAGTATATCGGCAACGTCTTCACCCGAGCTTTGCAGGCTAAGCATCTACAGGAAGATTCGTCAGTACTTAGCTGGAGAGCGACATTATGCAAGATCACGAAGCTTCCAAGGTTGCAAACGATGTCCCGTTTTTGATTCACATCGCCTTATCGATTTAACTCGCGTGTAGAACGAAATAGTCATCGTTGAAGCTAATTCGAGAGTTTAGAAGTCCCGCAGTAATGCCTCGTTTATGCATTTCATGCATTCCGCTAATGCAACGCAAATTGCCGGATGCGGTGAAAGTCACGCGCCCGATGAAGTAGCGAGATTACAGACCAGCTAATAATTGGGGTCAATTATAATACAGTGGTCGGACAATCGGATTAAAGTCCACTAAACTCGAGGATTATTGGTTGATCGGTAATGTAGTTGTTCCTGGTGATTGTGGTCTAGGATGAAGTCTACATTACTTCAAATGCGCGAATACGTGTTGGGTTAATACTATATGGACGACAGATAAATGAACGTCAATAACTGAAGGTTAGTTACACGTTACTATAGTTACAAGTTAGTTATAATTATATAAATTGCAGTGAAAGGGAGGTGTACAAAATTTGTTTTAAATATTTTAATGTCACGTTATAAAATAAAATTGTAGTCAGATGACAAATTCAACATTAACCTTGATTTTTGCCGAAAATAATTCCGCGGAGGATCAGAAAAATGAGAATTCGATATTTCATCAAACTTGATTCGCGTAATCGCTGTTTTATATTCATCCGCTGGGAAAATTTCAATATTCATCAGAGACCCGATAATCGAACGACCTTTTTGCCACCTTTATTTTCCCCAACCAGTCGCAGTAATTACTCGGATAAAACGCTTTTCATATTTCTCTCTTTATTTCGTGCGCAATGTTATGGATTATCAACTCGATTATATCGATCAGCTGTTAATTTAGCGGTGCGATACACCATGATAGAAGATCGTTAAACGACAGTGTACACAGTGTTCAGGAAAAGTAAAGTGGCAACAATTTTCCTGCCATCGATCACACTATTCAAACACAATCCCACATCCTGATCACCGCGTGATCGCTACCTTTTTTTCTCGTAACCCGACACATTTGTCAACAGGGTCGATCCTTGATATTTACGGATTAAGAAGACAGAATATAAATGATGTACAAGCGTGGGCTTGTAAAATGTCGCAAACAATCAATATTTGCCGCTATATTTTGTGTGTGTATATTTAAATTGTGCTCATTTAAATGCAGGTCCAGTTGTACAAAGAAACGATTTAAAATTGATGAAATCAGTGAAAAATGATGGAGGTGTTTGGGAAAATCAGTGTGTAGGGGACTCTCATTACAGTGCCACGCATTATATTGCCACGCATCCTATGTTGCTGTTCTATACTACTACGCGTTATATTGCTACGCACTCTAAATTACTACGCATTATATTACCATGCGCCCTATATCGCCACGCGCCCCAAATTACTACGCGTTATATTTCCACGCGCCCTATATCGCCACTCGTTATATCGCCACGCGCCCCAAATTACTACGCGTTATATTTCCACGCGTTTTACATTGCCACACGTTACATCGTTACGCTCCCCAAATTACTACGCGTTACATTTCCACGCGCCCTATATCGCCACTCGTTATATCGCCACGCGCCCCAAATTACTACGCGTTATACTTCCACGCGTTTTAGATTGCTACACGTTACATCGCTACACCCCCAAATTACTATGCGTTACATTTCCACGCGTGCTATATTGCCACGCGTTATATCGCCACGCGCCCCAAATTACTACGCGTTATATTTCCACGCGCCCTATATCGCCACTCGTTATATCGCCACGCGCCCCAAATTACTATGCGTTATACTTCCACGCGTTTTACATTGCCACACGTTACATCGCTACACCCCCAAATTACTACGCGTTACATTTCCACGCGCCCTATATCGCCACTCGTTATATCGCCACGCGCCCCAAATTACTACGCGTTATACTTCCACGCGTTTTAGATTGCTACACGTTACATCGCTACACCCCCAAATTACTATGCGTTACATTTCCACGCGTGCTATATTGCCACGCGTTATATCGCCACGCGCCCCAAATTACTATGCGTTACATTTCCACGTGTCCTATATTGCCACGCGTTATATCGCTGTACACTCCAAATTACAACGCGTTATATTTCTACACCTTACATCACTATGATCTTTATGTTGCCACGCATTATATCGCTGCGCGTTTCAAATTCGTATGTATTATACTTCACACATCCCATGTGATCACACATTCTACACATATGTGAATTACCTTCTACTACATGTACATTATCACGCGTCATATTACTACGTGACCCATATGTGTACTCTTTTGCCATTTGCATGACATTCTTTTTATACAGTTCTACAACGAAGACAGTGATTCATGTGTAACAAATTTCCAATTGAATGCCGATCACCAGTTATCCTCGTTTCTATAAGATTGAAATCGTTGACTGCGTCATCAGATTTGCAACAGCAGATCGAATCGCTTCCTGCAGCGGTGTGTCTTCCGGTTAGAAGTCGCCCTCGTAATTTCCGTATAAACATCCACGAATTTATCAGTACCAAGGAGAAGGTAAGGGGGGTGATGGTGCGAGGTAGAAGGCAATCGGCTTCGTGTTCGAAACAGCCCCCGGGGCACGACGCTCAACTTTGGCAGGAGAATTCCAATTTTGGCCTCTTTCAATTTAAGGCTACTTGTCTTCCTTCGTCTTCTTCTCGTCCGTTGGCTGCCGACTACCGTCATTTCAATTCGTCTTTTCCTTTTCTTCGGCTCCTCGAGCCAGCTTCTCGATTCGTGATACAACAACCCCCGTACGCCGTGCAGCGAGAGTTTACGGGGGTGGGTATCCGCCATTGATCAGACGCCTTCTTCGAGAAGTCGAGCCTTCGTCTTCTACCCCTGTTGCGTTCGTTCAGACTACCGATCGTTATTGCTTTTATTATCGTTATTATCATTAAGATCGAAAGTTAGCGAATTCCTCTTGGCGGAGGTGAAGCTTTTTGTTGAACGAGGGCTGAATGAAACCCGGCCTATTGTGTACACACGGTTCATTAGTCTTATAATAAGGAAGACATCGTTCAAAATATTTTTTCTTCTCTTTTTTAATGATATTGATTTTAAAATCTTCCTGGGTGAATCTATCTTCCTGCAGTTTTTAACATTTTGTAAATATGAAGTTATGGTGCAGTCAACTCATGATGCACTGTTGGATGCAAATAGAGATTAATGGCGCTTGAGTAATTTTCGTTTGATACAAAACATTGAAGCATGTTCATAAATTCTTTCCGTGTAAAATATTTTCTTAAATTCTTTTCACGTATAACATGTTGTTAAATCATTTTTAGATAACACATATAGGTAAATTCTTTTCATATAGAACATTTCATTGAAGTCTCTTTATGTGAAACATGTAAAATTATTTTTAGATAACAGATACAGGTAAATTCTTTTCATATAGAACATTTCATTGAAGTCTTTTTATGTGAAACATGTAAAATTATTATCAGATAAAACGTACAAGTAAATTCTTTTCACATGAAACATATAATAAAATTCTTAATTTTTTCTACATATGAAAATATTTTATGAAAAATCATATTAAAAATTTTTACATTTCTTTGCAATTTTTCATACAATTTTTACCCCTACAAGTTCCATTAATACCATAAACGGCAACAACGAAACAAGGCGTACTGTTCATTATTCCAGGAGCGTAGGAGGTCCAATTAATTTAGCAGAATGTTAAATGCCCTTTATTAAGGGAACGGATTACAAGTAATTTTAGCGGACTGTTCCCGCGATATTTCCCTGGAACGTTGTCGCGGTACAAAGTATCGTACAGTTGTTTTCTCTCGAAGTAACGATCATTTAGGGTGAAAGCTAAAAATGTTTATCCTCCAGCCAAGGTATTACCGCAATTGGCTGCATTCAGGGCTGGGAATTGCGTTGAAGTTAACGTGTCGCATGCTTAGTCGAAGGAACTCCTGCAATAACCCTAGCTGATGTTATCCCCCTAAAGGGACGTAACTGGACGTTGTTAGGTTTGCACGAGCGCCAACCGAGCAACTCGCTGCCAAATTGCTACTGTTACCGAGTCAATAATTTGTATCAACTGGCTGTTGTTTGTTTTCCACTCGCGCGTTCCTCCAAGTACTTTCCGGAAAATTACAAACTTTCTTTAGTACTTGGTACTCTGCTTCGAGGGATAATTTTACTTGGCAGACATTTTTTGTTCTCATGTCGATCGTGTTCTGTTTAATAGGAGATTGTTTTGGGGTGTATTGGAAGAATGTTTTGTAGTTAGCAAAGTTTTTAGATACGATGCCACTGTTGGATCGTGACGGAAGGAAACCATTTTCTGCTCTGTTTTCAGGCGGAAGTGGAAGTTGTGGAACAGTATAGCGATCCAAGGGATAGTAAGAACAAAGCGTACGTCGAGCCGGGAGCCGAAACATCGTTGCCGACGATTTACAGCAAAGTAAATCTCAACTATTGTCGACCGTATACGGGTAAGTTCTGCATAAGTTTTGGAGTATACGTTGAGTGGGAGGCTTCCTTCGAGACATACGCTTATCCGCGATCTTACAAATTTTCAAATATTCACATTTGTGAATTATCAAATTTTAGAATTATACATTTTTTTTGTAATTTAATTGTAATAATTGTAGTCGGAAACTTCAGTCAATAAACTGTGATGTATTTTTTCCTCTAAGGAAGCCTACCCTTCTTAACAGCACATATTTCACTACCTCAGTATCTACGTTATCGAAAAATCTTACTGAAAACACAAACTTGGGGTTGCTGAATGAAAACGTTAAATAGACTATTGATATCATAATCTAATTTGGTTATATAAATCAATTTGAAACAGATGCGTTTCGATATTATTCTAATACAGAATCCTTCATTGAAAGAAACAATAACTCAATCAAAGTCTTGGTATTATCCGTTAATGAATATACGATTTCTTACATAACTTTGCACGAATATAACCCAGAAACTAAAGATTTTTAGTGAAGTGGAGGGGTTCATTATCATTTAGAAATGAAAGGAAATTAACTGCGAATTTACCAGACAATATCAAGCTATAAATTGCCTATTCTTCAACGAAGAGTCAGCCATTTTGAAGAATCTTAACGTTCATATTTTCTCTAAACTAAAAACTTCAAGTTACATAAGCGATATCATAAGTAATGTTTCGATGTGTCACAAAATCACATAGGAAATTGTCATGGGATATAACTTAATAATACAAATCAGCCTTAATGAATTCACGTGGATTAAACGTAGCAAAGCGAGCGAACACCGGGAATATCGTTCTAATAAATAAACTCGAACAGTAGCTCGTAAATCGCGGATTTATCCTGGTGTCTGGATGATAACCAACGCTCGTTTCCGACTCTGCTTATCGATTGGACCTGTGCTCTGGCCAATTTTCTGCCAAGCGACCGTCATGCTTCCTCCGAGCCTGGAATCCTTTCTCGCCAGTTGATCGTGTATATAATACAGCCCTGAGTAAATATCATAGTGCGGAGATGATTGGCCAAATGTCTGAGCCAAAGATTCGCCGAAAGTATTGATCCGATCAGTGTATCCGCGAAAATAACACCCGTTACAATTCGAGTTATTAAGGACACTTATTTTGATATCTCAAAACAGTACAGTTATCGACAGGTCATTGGAACACGTGATAGAAATAAAATTTTCTTTTTCATTTCTTTTGTTGCTACAATTTTTTTATTGTCATGCGTTAAATTTTGGACGAATTGTGTTCAATATTTCATTACAGAAAATTTTCCTATTTTAGGATTTTGATATTTTAGGATTTTGGTATTTTAGGATTTTGATATTTTACGATTTTTATATTTTAGGATTTTGATATTTCACGATTTTGGTATTTTAGGATTTAACATATTATATTAACACAATTTTGTTACATTAATATAGATACTTATATTTTTATAAAAACGTGTAACGAGGTACTAAAACTTCCTCGTTCACGGATATCTCCATCGCTCAAAATTTGTGGTCGAAGAGAGTACGCGATTTTTTCAATTTCGACGCTGTAGGACGAGATTTAAATTGACGTGTCGTCCGTGTACAACCGGCTGCAAGTTTCGGATTATAGAGTTAACAGAAATTCCCGTGTCGAGCCGCAAATTAATGCGGCGAACCCTCGACGATACGACCGATACTCCGATGTACGAATTATCGAGGCAACAACTCAGTTAACGCAGAGTAAGAGAGGCGGAAGAGCCCCTCGATAATTGAACGGTGCACACAGTTTGCCACGGGAAAGCCTGTGGATTATTCCAACGTTTTCGAAACGAACGAGAACGCGATTTTTTTCGTTGCGAATAAAGTTGCCGAAAAAGTCTGTACGTGTTCAGAGTAGGATTGACTTGGATGAATATTTAAATACAAGAATTACACTGTTTTATAGAATTATATATTAAATTCATTTAATGTAGATATTCAGGATGATGATTCATGTTTTTTGATGGAGATGAATTTTTTAAAATAAAGAAGGGATAAAATGAAAAGGGTAGTAGGTTATGGTATGTTATGATCTTAAAATGTCGGACATAATTTGATGGTTCGAAAGTGTCTCCATGTAGTACTTATAACAATTTTAATATTGTGGGACAATATAAATGACAATATATTAATTTTACTGTCACAGGACTGAACTGATTAAATAAATTAGTGTTCTGAATGTAAAATGGCTGATCACAGCAAGCAATGGCAGAATTTGAAACCTGTGGACAACCTAACCTAGAAATTTAATAGAACTTCACGTGGTAAACAAATTACTCTGTGATCGACATTTACTACATCTATAATATCTGTTTTAATACAAATATCCTGAAACTCATTCACCAATATTATCTACAACTGACAATTTATTTAACCACAATCTGTGTATACGATCAGTATACTTTTGCTTATCATCCTTTTCCTACAACACAATTTTCCACATCCTCAATTCGTTCAACCGATAAATTTAGACCACCAGATAACCAGTTTCGTGAATCCCCAGTGAAAACCATAATTACGTGGCAATGTTCAGAATTTCGGTTTGTAATTAATCCCGTAGTTACGTCGTGTGCAGGGACCTCTAACGGAACAGAGCACGACTATCGAAGTTGTCCATGTCGCATGGACGAGTATTTTAACTCTCGGTTATGCAGATTGGCAGGTAACGATCCTGGATAAACATCAGATAGAATTTGCATCCTTACCATATTCATGGGCTTTTAATTCGCGTGGGTTGCGTGAACGTGGCAAGGGTCAAGTTGCCGAAAAGACCTGAGTAAACTTGCCGGGATAAATGTTTGCGATCCTATAGGAGAATGACGGGCTCATTGATACGACTTCTTGGCTCTGGCCTATTCTAATCGGGGAGAGGTGTTTGCTCGTGGCATTTCCGTTTGCGGTCGTATAAATAATGCATGTCTCAAAATCGGTTAGTTTTGCTGCAGTTGAACAGTGAAATTGATGATTCTTTAAAAAAATTTAATTAGTTGAGCTCACATACTATAATCTCAAGTCTCTAAATTCTCAAATCCCTTTGTTCACAAATTGACGATGGATTAATCCTACGTATGTCTACCATTGAATTCCTGGGTTATATCCACACATTTTCAAATCTCAGAGTCTTCAACCTATTCTGTCAAATTCTTAGCCCTATTCCAACTTTCCCAAAAATCTCCAAAAACGAGTGAAAGACCCTGCTTTGTCGATCACTGTATTTTCTTCGGGCCTGCTATTGACCGTAGCCGGACAGCATTCACGTGATTCGAATCGCCAGTTACATGGTCGTTAGGGAGAAAATAAGGCTGGAGAAGGGTAAGGTCAGTCGGAACAGCATTTCCAGGGGCGATTTATAAACGGGATACGATTCGAACCGTCTGGACAATCCAGTCCCCGCCTATTTCCGGCTGCTGGAACCTGGTGGTCCACTATCAGCTTTCGTTTCGCTGGAACTTTTCGGCTGGCGCGGTGTGTGGCTGACGTTGCTTGCCACCGACACCGTCCTCGTCCCCATAATATGTCGTGTGATATTTAATTAAACTCCCACCCCTGTAACTTCCGTGGCACCCTTGCTCATCCGACCTGCCCTCGTTCCGTTGCTCGCAGTCTGTAAAGTTTCAAGGGGTTCTACCGCGTGCCCTCTCTGTCCTCCCGCACTTATTAACCGTTTCAACAAGTCCCCTTGACACGGGATTTTTCTTGCCTTCTCCTCGAGCGTCCGAAGTAATTAAAAATCGACCGATTAAACCTAATGAAGTAGAACGGAATGGAAGAGACGCCGAGATTTCTCGTTAAGCCTCGGCCAGATGCCGACCGATTTTATTCGCGTTTACCTCCTTACCTGGGGTTGCGATAAGTGCTTTTTACTTCGTACACAGCTCTTTCCCTCTAGAAGTTTATTTTGTGCATTCAATTCGTTTTAAATGGCTATTCTAAAATTGTAATTGTTTTTATTGTGATAAGGAACTAAAGCAGCTACAAGTGAAGTGCTAACTTGGTGATGTTGCAGATTTTTATTTTTATGTGACTGTAAAGTTCTGAATTGCGAAAACTCTAAAAAGTCACAAACCGTGGGTGTACCTCTACGCACTGTGCCCGTTCGCTCTTCAGCAGCCTCTTGATCTGTGCATCAAGTACTCGAGAGGCAGGATAAAGTTTAAACGAATTTTCTGCGACTTCGATCTTTCAAAAGCCCTTGAAATTACCGTGACAGCAGGATCGAAGTGGGATTTGAAGGACCACTCTTTCAAACTTCCTCGCGCTTCCTGAGAAAAGTTTCTTCAAGAAAAAACAGCAGTTTCGAACCCTAAATGTTGAGTAGCATCGAAAATACTACCTTGATACAAGTTGATCAATGCAAAGTTTCATACTTTCTTTTAATTGTTACCTCATCGAGATGTTTAGCTCACTGATTGGCTGGAGTGTGTACTTAAAAATTTACATGCTTAATCACGCTTGAATTATGAAATTTCTAATTTAAGCTATATGTAGAAGTCATATGAAATGTGAAAATTGTGATAGAATGATACTAACGAACGAAGTCAAATATTTTCTCTCATTGTCCTACTTTGTTACAAAATTAAAAAAAAACCTTTTAAGAGAAAATACTCAGCTAGTTGAACTCTTCGTCACTATAATATTTGAAAATGTAGAAGTTTATATCCTTCGAAAAAGTTAACTAAAAAAATAAGTGAATGTAGCCAGCGACAATTACTTTCAGTGGCGATTATTTAATACGCCGGTGTATAGACAGCTGAGACAATAGACAGCATTTAGCCAGCGTTTGATGTGAATCAAGCAACCCCCTGTCACACTAGCAACGGATGAACGGACAAGCGGACGAACGGACCGACGGACGGCTTGTCATTTGCATACGATGAACTCGTAGCGGCGTTAACTGCTCGGGGACGTGGAACGAGCTACAAGTCACCTGGTACCGGTAATTGAAACGAGGGTAACTTCCACGAGGGTCGTT